TATGTAATTGTCAAGCCATTGACAATCATGGCCCAACTGTGTTGGCACATAACCTTAACCATCACAGCCAACATTATTCTCACCTCGTACCTCAGCATTCATTAGTGCCATACTTATATTATTAATATGCAAAATAGTCACATAGTAGATTTTTTACTGTTGTCATAAATGTGAAATGTAACAAGATAGTCGGTGAGTGTGCAATGTGCGTGTGTATGTAAATGTATATACACACACTCATATATATTCATACACATAAATGTGGGTCTCAACCAGAGATGATTTTTGCTCCCACCTCCAGGGGATATTTGGCATTCATTATCCACAGACATTTTGACTATCACAACTTGGGGGGGGGTACTGAGTTCTACATGGTAGAAGCCAGAGGTGATGCTAAACACCTTTAAATGTCCAGGGCAGTCCCCACCACAATCATTGATCCAGCCCCAGATGTTCAAGTGTCAAAGTGGAGCTACCATGATAAACACCTTAATGTAGCCTCCCTTTTGGCGAGGACTTCACTCCATTCCCCATTAACTCATGAGGTGGTCCAGGCAGGGCTCGAGAAGAGAATCTTGGCTCCCTTCCATGGCCACAGACTTTTTTGATTGAAAAAATAGAAATGGTGGTGAACCCAGTTTATGACGAGGGGAATGATGACTTTATAAGGTTACTTGAGTCCTGGGTTGAATGCATATCAGATAAGATATTATGGAACAAATATTCCTTGTGGCTTGGTTTGTAAATCCAGTTCATTTGATGTTTCTCCTTGTTCCTGTTTTAAAGAGTCCACTAAATAAACAGCCTTCTCCAAACAGATGATTTTATAAAACTTGTCTGGGGGAAGATCTGTCTCCAGTGCTTATTTCAGAAACGATGTGGTTCTTCATATCCAGGGAAAGGTCCATGCTCTCATGACGTTAGAAGCTATTGCCAGAGCATGCGGGTTGTTTTCATAATTTCTATAAAAGTGGAATGTCGAATTTTCTCCTACATTTCATGGAGGAGAGAAGGAAATGTGCAGGTGGGTAGAACAGAGCATTTGTGAAGCTGTTGATTTGGGCAGATGATTATAGACATTGAACACACAGTAAGATCTTTCAGATGCATGGGCTGTACAAAGTGCCCTAGCATCAGCTTAGGTCTGAGTGAGGCTGCTTAATCCTCATGAAACCCCCAAGTGGAGGTTCTCAATGAGGCCAGGTTCACTCTGCAAATTCCTGACCTGGGAAAATAAATACAGCTCCCAGGGCCTAGAACTTAAAGAAATGATGCTAACGCACAGGAGACACTGGCTCTGATGAAAACAGCAACAGACCCAAGCTCCCATATCCGTTGTCAGTCACTTCAGGGTAAGACCATAGGGATTTATGTATAGGTATCTGTTTTGGCAAACCTTTTCCTTCCGTGAGACTAGGGTTTTCCAGGGCCTGGACGAGTGATAATACAGCATATTCATCAGCTGCTGGGAGTTCTACAGAGAAGGCAGAATTGTGGCTACAGGGGAAGGCAATAACTGGGGTGATTTCCTAGAGTGCACTGCAAGGGTGGGCCCCAGGGTCCAGGTGGAGGACGTAATCTCCTCCTGAGCTATGAAAATAGGTTATATGGGTCCAGACGCAAGGAACTTAGACGATGGTGGACCAGTTGTGGGAGATGTCCCTTCAGATCACTTCTCTGCTGTCAGCATAATGTTGTTGTTGTTGTTGTTAGGTGCCTTCGAGTTGTCTCTCCTGCGCCAGCCTGACGATCCTTGATACACTTGAGCCCATCGTTGTAGCCACTGTGTCTATCCATCTCGTTGAGAGCCTTCACTTTCTTTGTTGACCCTCCACTTTACCAAGCATGATATCCTTCTCCAGGGAATGGTCCCTTCTGACAACATGACCAAAGTAGGTGAGACGGAGTCTGGCCATTCTCA